TGATAGGAAGCTAAGTAAAACTTTTGGAAATTTTTCACAGAAACAAAGATGGAGGTATTGGAGTACTTTTCATTCCGTCTGAAAAGGCGAGTGGAAGGGATTCGCAATTTGGCCTCACTGGAAGCTTTAGGGGGATAGCCCTGGAGCTGTGATTGAAAATTTATCTGAATAGGTCCTCGGCGCCCTGCAATTCGACACCACTAGAACCTTGTTGAGCTTTCATCCGTAATGTAACGAACATCGTTAGAGCAGGACAGCGTGCTTAACGATTATTCACCAAAACCTTAAAGGACAAGAAATGTGTCTGGCTTCAAGCCTACTTCTAATAGTCCTATTTGGTCCACTTAATTAATCTCAGGCTTTAGTTGAATATCCCATGCTTTGCCTAAATGTTTTCTGGAAAGTTAAGTCCGGTGAAGAGGACTAAATGGTATTTAGGGCAGACAAAGGAGGAGTAGTAGATGTTAATGATAGTTAGAGTTATGTGGAAAAAATGATGCAGTCTTTGATTGAAACTAACAAATTCAAGATAATTAGTAGACCCAACATAAACCTTTAAACCTAGACCTAGGGGTTGCCTGCAGAACTGTTCAACAGGCGAGAAAGTGAAAAAGTTGAGGCTAATACTCCTCTTTAACGAGATGCCAGTCCTTTGAATGCATATGTTCTGCCAATTATGCATAAAGATGGAGTGCCACTTAGAATTATTGTGAATAGTAGAGGATGTGTGATGCATAAAATATCACAATTTATTTGTAACCAATTAAAGCAAATCCCCGATACGCGGCCATTTTAAGTTAAGAACCCCTATGAAGTCTTCTGAACGTGTGTCTATGTGCACTAACATTTCTGTAGGCGATGCCATACAGGTCCTGCAATCCATAACATGAAGCTCGCAAAGTTTCTAATGAGCATGAATTTAAGTAAAGAGTCAATACGGATACATTTTACATATTTTACCTTTAATGCTAAACTGTAGGAATAAGCAGGAAGTTTAGCTGTGGGATCGTGTTTGCCACAAATAAAAAAAAATAATTACGTGTTTTTTTGACGAACGTTTAATTTAGAAGGCAGTTTTAGTCTTTAAATTATTAGTTAGCTATTTCGAGGACTACTTTGCTATTTGGCAACAGGGCAAAGAAAACATAGAGAATTTTCATGGCTTAATGAACAGGATCAATGGGAAGACAAAATTGGCCATCGAGTTAGAAAAAAAAGTGATTAATCTTTACTTGATTTCCTAGTTAGCAAAGAGGGAACCAGATTAGGTAGATGGGCGCATAGGAAACCCATAAATGCAGGTTTCCTTTTGAATTTATTTTCTAACCACACTTATGGCGCCAAAGTAGGAGTTACGAAGTCCATGTCAATAAGGAGCCTATATCTGGCAGATATTCAACACCGGGACCAGGAATTTAGAGGACTAAGAAGAATTCTATATGACAATATTTATCGGCTAGGACTAGTTGACAATTATTCTAAATAGTGTCAAATAGGATGGAGGAAAATACATATTTGGAGCTATATAAAAAGTTAAACCACTCTAACAGACTCCTTAGGCTGCCATCATGTAATCTCTCTCGAAGATATGTGAATTACTGATGACGTGGGACATTAGGACCATTTAGTAAAAGAAAATAGCATTGTCCTCGGTATTCCCTTATTTTCTATAATACTCTGACCCATTCTCCAGATCGGGTTGTTACAAGATTTTGTGTTCATACGGTAGTGCCTATGAGGGAGAGACCTATAGACCCATACCTAAGAGGTTATCCTAGCACAAAACAGCCTGCAAGGGTACGTGTGTCCAAAAATCGGAATTGGCTGAACACAGGGCTCGCACAGGACACCAGGTATAATGCCAAACGCTTGACGGGATATGGAGACTATGCCAATAAGTGAAATATTAGGGAGGCGATATAAGTCAATAAAACAGCCAGCACCCTTCATAGAATGAACGAATGTAGGAAGTTAAGCGAAATCTACTTATGACTGTCGGATAGGTCTAGAGAGAGAGATGGGGGGAACGAGAAGTGCCACCGAGCAAGAGGAGGCTTGCTTAGGCTCGAATCTGGTTTTGACTCTCACATCACGCTACTTTCAAGAGCAATGCATTCACACAGCACGCTTACAAAGCAACGTAATGTTGCGGCATCGTTGTAGAATCAAAGGTATAAGTGTTTTGGAGGATGAGGCGTCGGTTCGCTTACGATTGCATCCGCTTCACGCTTCATCAACAGTCGTCTAATTTAAACTTTGAGCAATCATTCAGCAAAGCATAAGATATCCAACCAAAACATGATATGCTTACTTAAGTGGACCGAACTGGACAATAAGAAGTAGGTAGGTGTGAAGCCGGCCATCTATCTTGTCTTTGTGCTTTGGTGAATTATCGTAAAGCACGCTATCCTACTCCGGCTATGTCAGTCAAATGACGGAAGAAAGCTCAACAAGGATTCATCGGAGTAGCAGGGTGGTGCACCGAGGACATATTCGCACAAATCTTCTAACATGGCTCCAAGTCAATCCCCCTAAGGCTTCTCGTAAGGCCAACATACGAATCCCTTCTACTCGCCTCTTCCGAAACCCATTTTTTTCACATACCTAAAGAGGGAGGTATGTTGATTCACTGAAAGAACCGAGCGTATTAGCTGATCGACAAAGTAATGCTTATACCAAAAATCGCATTCTTTTAACTCGTCCGTTAAGCTCATCAATTTGACCAGATCAATTTTCGGATTTACTCAATACTATTTCTTTCCATGTGTCATGCCAAAAGAAAGCTCAGCCTTTTTTAAATGAAATGAATAACGATGTATGCTAGACTCAGTCATGGCCAAATTAAATGACTGCATATCAACAGGAATCGGCCCTTAGTTCTGGTTAAATCTAGCTTTTAACCGCTTTTTATGTATACCCCCGTGTGAAACTAGGGCCACCTCAGCAATGATAGCTTTAGAGATTCGTGTTTACTTCGTAAATTGAATGTACGTATAGTCAAAACTATATTGCAATAAACCTGATTATATGAGGAATAAAGTATAAAACGAGAGTTTCAAACTGTTTGAAAACACATTGACTTTTCAAATACAGTATCATAGCTTAGTATCTTTCCTTCCGCCTTGATTTCGTAGCAGTAAATCATTACATTCCTTGTTATACTTAAAGTTTTTCGGTATTTTGTTAAATATGAATTTGCATCATCATTATTCAAGTATATTCATTTCTAGAGGTTGTTTGACCTTGTTTTCGCAATATGCTA